ATAAAATGGATTTGAATTGAACTATAAATTTGACTTTATGAAAGTTTATTTGTAGTTAGATGTTAAAGCTGTCTTAATAAAAGAATAATTCGATGAAATTTTAACAATGAATTGAATATTTTATTGGTATTTTAGTTTAGCGACGATTATTGAAAGATGCATTTTCAAAATTTTTTGGAATAATTAAGCAAGTTTGTAGCTATACATAGAGTGTAGTTAATGAAAGTGAATGGAAGGTCTACAGTGGGTTCTTTAATAGAGGAAGATTTTTTATGTGAAAATCTGTATTATTTTGTTTTTCGTTATTATGCAGTTGTTACATGTTTTTATGCGGAAGAGACGGATGTTCCTCGATTTTTACTCCTATCACTTTCATCTTGCTTTACAACCCGTTAACTGCTACTTTGTCAGAGTCTGTATCCGTTCGCAGATCCGGTCGATACTCATTTCCGCTTCTCGTCGTAACTCGACTAACTTTCGTCAAGGCTATTTCCTCGCGCGATAAACTTTCTCTGACAACGCCTCATAAAGCATCGTATTCCTATAACTTACAGAAACTAGAAACGCCTAAAAATAAAAGGCTACGTCTTGCTGCGGTTCAAATTACTTGAAATGATTCGGACGATAAGAAAAGTAAACATAAAGTATATCTACACTTCATTTCTACTTTCTCCTTTATTCTATAACATGTAAAAAACAAGTTAAATAGCAATTTATTTATTTCCACGAAAATTTCACTGTGTCGACATTAAATTAATAATTGCAACGCAGTGCAAATTCGTTGGTTTTGTATCGAAACTTTTATTTAATTTTGAGAATTTATTTCATTTATATGTTGCAGATTCGCATATAGTGAAAATATGTATTTATTTATTCCAAATTTATATAATGTAAGCAATTTTTCTAACAATATAACTGATAAAATGATTCATGTTCAATTCATTTCAGTCAGAATAATAAACTATATGATTTTACAGTGATTACCTTCTACTAAAGGGCCATTGTTTAAAAAAATCAATGGCGACTGCAACGTCGAATATAGAAACGAAATTTTTAACATCGATCCGGGGAACATGTTTTTAGAAATTCGATGGAACACGTCATCGTCGCAACAAGCTCGAAGATACATGACTGTACGCTTTGTATAACGACCAGGCGTTTAACTTTAGATTCTGTAAGGCTCAATTAGAGCCGTGTCGCGTTAACGAGTGCCGAAATAGCGTCACTATTAGCGTGATGTACCGATTAGCCAGCTTGGTAACGCCTACGGACAGCACAAACGACGCATGGGTGTAACCTGCCACAGGGTTCTTTACGATGAAAGAGAAATTATGCGAAACTGAGTAATTGATTCTTCACGTCCTGTCTCTTTTCGGCTTACTAAATCTTCAACAATATAATAAACTATCGTTTGCTTCATCAATTATTTCTACATGCAAAATTAACAATTTATAAATACGTGAACATTTTGAAGAACTTCTTTACCCTTGACATGTACTTCAATGCACTTTCTATGAAACAGAATAAAGTTCTTCGTAAGTCAATTTCCACAAATTATTTTCCGCGAATAATGTATAATACCAATTATGCAAGTACGATTAGTTGATCAGTTTGCTTGTTTGTTAATAAATATAATTAATTTTGCCGTCGTTAATATTCAATAATTAATTAAACGATCGGCCGAAGTTCCATGTAGTAAGTAAACCGAGTAGATCAATTGGTTTCTGTGATAGACACGTTATTAGGCGCGTGGGTGTATTTACGTCATAATGAGTATGCAAAGCGATCGGCGTTAACGAGCCAGCTCGCTTTCAGCGGGATGCGCGTTACCATAAGCCCAGCCGTCACGTTCCTTGTATTTTTATCGTTCGCTCGCGAATGCCGGCATGGAACGTGTTTCCCATTAGGTTACTCACCATGCCACCCCCGCACGACCGGCCCTTAACGAGCGCGTTTATCCGGCCGATCTTGACGCGAGCCAATCTACTCGCAGGATAATGATGTACCCTTCTTGGTGTCAATCCCCTCGACATCATCGAGATTGCGCTCGCTCAACGGTGGCCGCTCGCTACATAAATCTTTAGCGTTTCCTCGATTTTAATTTTGCTACTCTCCACAGTTTATTTATCCATTTGAAGTATTAGAAAAACAGGAACACACAAATTAGTAACAAGTTTTTTATGAGCTTCTTAAAATCAGATTATCTTGCACAAAATGAGGGTGCAATTAACTCGAAGAATAAGAAGCGAAACTGGTCTCAAACAGATGAAAAACTGATTAAGTTCAATAAACTCGAAAATCACAGCAGAGATAAACTTTATAAACCATGAGAAGTAAATTTCTTCTTATTCCATAGTTCGTCCACTATCAACTCCGATTTCACGGGACCATCGAATCTCGACCGTAGCTATCTCTCTCTACAACGATAGAACCTCCTGTTCAAAATCAACCACCATTAACTACACCAAAAAGCTAACAACTTCCCCAAATTCATTAACACTACGAAATAAAGTACCTCCACCGAAGTTCCTCTAGGATTTCACAATATTCCATAACTATTCCAAAAAAAAGAGAGGAAAAATCAAAATCCGACACTCAAACAAACCCTCTGAAACCCCGCATAT